ATTCCATTAAAATGTACATCATACTCTAAGGGAACCTATACACATGACAGACCAACTCCACTCCAACATGTGCCAATTAGCATGCATTGGGGCAAACTTGATTAACTGAGTCTGCTGTGAGTCTTCTGGAGAATGCTATTTAGCATGCTCCAGTAGCCTCCACATCATGGGTATTCAGCATCCCTGCACTTGAAAATGGTGGCAGAGGTGCCTTAACTAAAGCTTCCTGAACAAGCTTCAGTTAAAGTGCCCCCGCCAACATTTTGAAGTCTGGGATGCTGAATACACATGACGTTGCAGGTGCTTAAATTAGAGCAGTCCTTAGAGCTGCTCTAATTAAACTGCACCCCCATGTCTACCCCCTACCCCTACCCTGGAGCACATGTATAGACACCCTAATGTTTTAGATATTTATTCAGTTTTTACTGTGGTGAGAACTCTTTTTGAGCCATTCACTTTATGACTTACTGGGTGCGTCTACATGCGATGCTGACTGTGCAGTAACCCAGTACTACTGTGCAATAGCATTGTGTGGCAAAAACCATGACACAACACTACTGTGCAGTAATATTAGGATACCGCTCAGTAGCATCACAGAAAAGGCATTCACCGGCAATACTGCACAGTAACTCAGGTTACTGCTCATTTATTTAGTACTTGTTTATACAAGTACGTAGTAACGACTGCGCAGTAGCGTCATGTGTAGACGCAGCCTCTGGGATCCATCTGTCAAAGTGACAAATCCTGGTGGTTGTCTGCTTTTTTGGGTCAACTATAAGGAACTAAGCTGTTGACATTGCCATTGATTCAATTAGTAAACTCATGTTTGTTGACCATTTATGTGATAAGAGCTTTTACTATCCTTTGGAGTGGAGTGGAGTGGAATCCTCTGAATCTTCCCGCTCTAACCATGATTGTAACTGAAGAGTGAATTTGGAAGGAAAATGAAAACTACTCTCAAAGAGAAGGTTACATGGAGGACTAAAATAATGGTCTGGAGGAATGAGGCAATGAATAAAAACTTCACAGCACCATTGATTTAATTTCTAAGGCCACTGTTGAGTGTGGGAGAGAAGAGAAGGGAAGTCAAACTAGGAGGAAATAATGTTGGCAGCCAGTTCCCTTGTTCTATCAAAGCTGCACAGGCAATAATGCTAGACTAAAACAAATCTCTCTGTGGGACACTTACTCCCCAAATTGCTTGATGGTTTTGATGAGTCTGAGCATGACTGACCTTAGTACAAGGAGAGGAAATACTAATGTTTCCAGCACTTTGGGGACAGAAAACACATTCATTTTGTGCAGTTGATTTGCAATCTGGTCTCATTGTTTATGAGAAACAGAACTGATACCCCCAGATCCTCCTTTCATCTACTGCTCCTATTATATTTCAGCTTGTCCATCAAATCCTTCAGATATTAATTCTTCCTCTTCCAACCATCTCTCATCTTTATGTTTTTCAAATGATTAATAGATTTAGGACTGGAAAATTCCTCCTGGGACACTTATTCCAACCCTCAACCAAGTACAGGCATTCTAATATATTTATTGAATGCACCCAGCTTTCAAATTCACTGTTATTGCAGGGCCCTATTGAAACTCAAAGGTGGTTGACTAGCCTCTCTTGCTCCCTTCTTTTGGTTCACACTGAGTTAATTTTCACTTGGTTATTAAGTACTTTCTGGCTGTGGTGTATGAGAAGGGCTGGAGTGGATGTGTTTGTGGACCCATTTGGGGAAAGGTTTAATACAAGGGATCTCCTGGGTCATCAAATCCAATCCCATAAAACTGTAGAGGACAGGATTTGATGTCACAGCAAGCCCCCTTCTGTCCTATATTCCTGTAATCATGCCTTTCATGACCAGGTTATTCCATTGCCAGCATCTTCTCACTGGCAGGAATCATCTCTGAACACCCAACATGAATTCTGCATTTCCTTTCCTCAGACTACTGCTCCTTGTCTTTTCCTGTGTTTGAATACCCAGCTTTCCCCCTACTTTTTGTTATGGTCTTTGAAGGAAATTTATACTGTTCTGTTCCTTCCTTTCTTGTCTCTCTTCCAAGCAAAAGATAATTGTTCCCTCATCTGCCCCTTTATAGGAAGTGTCTGTTTCTTCAAGCCACATTATAGCTTTTTTTGGTATTTCTGCAGTTCCTTAACCTTAACCCCTGCTCAGTGCAAAGGTGCCAGAATACTGACTTAAGCAGCTAGTTGGGATATCTCCTGCACAATATGCCACTGACAGTGAAAAGGAAGTGATGCTAATTTTGAACACCTGCTCCTGAACTTCAGGATGCAGTATCATGTTAGGGACAAGAGGTGGTATGTCAGAGTACATGGCATTCAAGTAGTTCTATATCAATGGTGCATAGAGGGCCATTTCAGCCAGTAGAAGTTGGAGCAACCATGGAATTGCTTTGCTTGGAGCCAAAACAGCCTGTATTTTCCACCTGGGGCTAGTGATGGAATCACTGCTGTGCTTTCAGTCCTCTCCCCCATTACACCAAGCTGACTCAGTGTTTATCCCAGGGGTACTCTAGGTTGTGTTCTGAACAAACTGAGATTATTTAAAGGTATTACTCTTCTGGTTTTAAATGAAGGCAGGCTAGCATGTTAGAGAGTAACTGGTTCAGGGAAGCATAAGCTTTCATAGGCAAGTGCCTACTTTGTCAGATGCTATCAATGAGTTTGCAGGAAATAAGTCTTAAATGAGATATATGTATAGATTCTGCTATTTGTTACAGTAGTAAAAAGGAAAAGAAGGTGATGGAATGATTCCATACTTACAATGGTACAAGTGAAGGAAGAATTTAGCTTTCTATTTATGAGGGGGTGTTTTTGCTTTTTCTGACTGCAGCAGCCTCAACCTCTTTTCTTCTTTTTACATTATCATAAGAAGTGTTTAAAAAATGTAGACAGACGTGATTACCCAGCAATGTCTTTTCCAGCAGAGCACCATCTTGTAAAGCAATAATCATCATGGTTAAAATTCATTGAGGAAAAGCCTTATTGTGATTTCTCCAAGGCATATGCTGGTAACAAATTTCAAGTCAGTGAAACAGTAGCTAGTTCAATAAACATTCTAAAAGTGGAAGTTATTACCTACGGAGACATTTTTAAACAGAACATCTCTATCCGCATTATGCAGATCCTCTAATTATAGCATATTATTTGGATTTCATTGCTTTTAAAACTATTTAATATCATATTATGCTCATGCTTACACCTAGTGAAGGGCATGCTAAATTAGTCAGGGCATCGGGAGACTCCTGCCCTCCTGTCCCCATGCCATAGACAGTAACAGGGGCACCAAAGGGTCTTAACCATAGGACTGAAAAAAACATCAGTGGTCTATAATCAAGTCATCAAATTTAAACTTTCCCATTTACTGGAAATGAAGCTCACTGTTTTTGGAATGTGGCCATTTCACAGCAGCATTTGCCTGTTGTTTTGAGTATGAAGGTGAGATATAAACAGCATTTGCTGGCTTTTTTGCTGCAACAAAGTCTTCTTTGATAGTGTCTGGTCACTTTCCTCCGATTACTGACAGTCAGTAAGCATTCTGAGCCAGAGGTATCAACTTTCTGCTGGATTATGCCTCCAATTTGTGCAGTGTTTTATCTGTGCAGTGGCTAAAACTCAATGAGATTAGGCTGCAGCTGTAACTCATTGTAGATGGGCTCAATAATCTAGTCAAGGATGTAATGGTACCTGCTGCAGGCTAAATGGTCAACTTCAGGTGGTAAAATTTGTCCTAGACTGAGAAAGGAAATATGTTCCCCATTCTTTTAATGTACTAGGAAAATGGAGGGGAAATGACTTGCGATGATATTTTGGGGTCAACTATAATAGTGATGGCATCTTTCACTGGGCAGAATAGTTAGGTTCACATTCTGAGAAACCTAAATACAGTTACCTTGTCAGGAATTCCTATGTATGCAGTGATCTTGCTAAATATTATTAGCATTTTGGCTTTTTCAATATGTTTACTTAAGCATTTAATTTTTGTGTATTGAATTAAGCCCTGACCAACATAGAGCTAATACTTTTGTTAAATCTTTAACGTTTCGGGGATCTAGGCCTTCAAACACAGTGTGACTTTTGAGTTCCTGGAGAATGGAATGATCCAGGGTACTAGAAATAAGCTATTGCGTTGTCTTTGTTGTCATTGCCACACTGAATCCAGTCCAAAATGGTATTGATGAAAAATCATTAACATCAAGTTCCTCTGTAGTGGCCAAAATAAAATCAATGGGTGATCTCCATCCAGTTCATGACCGGCTTCCCATGAACCACACCTGTGCTTGGTTTTTTTGTTCAGAGATTCAGTAGAAAGGCCAAGGACTGTGAGGACATAAAGACTGAGCTGTGTTCATACTCTGGTATGTGTTGCCTCGAAGGAAAACTAAAGCTAGGTGGGGCAGTGAGAGAGAGTTGTATTGATTCTCTTCTTTCAGTGTATAGATGAGGGTGTTTGATTTCCAATGCAATTAATACATTACTTTTCACCAATGCCAAAGTCACTCAAGAAATAAAGTCTGTGCTGTATTTCAGTGTTTTCTTCTAGTGCTTAGCTCAAACCGAAGTAAAATGTCCTAAAAAAGTTAAGGATTAATTGTCTTGAAATGTTTTTAATTAGATTCTGATTTGTTGCCTATGGATCCAGAGAAAGAAACAATTATACTAATATTAAAGCATTTAAAAGTGAGAAGAAAAAAAAGGGACAGGGGAATCCATGACTGGTGTAAACCTGTAACAGGGCTTAAGATAGGGAGAGAGATGGAAGAGGAAAGGTGGAACACATAATGTAAACCCAGGCTAAAGAGATTCGAGCCCAGTAAATGCATAGTAATAGTGCAATGTATCTCATCAAAGACAGTCTTTAATTACAACAGGATATAGCTAGGGTGTTATCTTACTTTCATTCAGTCGATTCAGAAGATACTTCCCAAATATTTGTCAACATTCTTTTTTTCCCCCTCTCCTCTCTCTCCAAAAGCCTCATCCTGTGATCAAGAGCTTCAGTCAGCACTGGAGGAAGCTAAACAACCCCAGAAAGACAATGTGTTTATTCCAGAGTGTGCCCAGGGTGGCCTTTACAAGCCTGTGCAATGTCATCCTTCCACGGGATATTGCTGGTGTGTTCTTGTGGACACAGGGCGTCCTATCCCTGGTACATCAACAAGGTAAGTAAATAGGAGCTGCCATTTTTTTTTAAGTTGGTGTGTATAGACTTAGCTTCTTTGCCAATAAAAGCAGGCTGATACATGCCAGCTGGGGATGTTGCACTGTGGACTGTGAAAAATAATTAAATCATCTCTGAGAGAGATTAGACATGAAGACTTTTCACACTATGGGCCATGTGGGCATCTCCAGTACTCCTTTCTCCTGCTTTTCTCTTATTTCATACTGAGAAGCTACAGGGTAGAAGTTGGGAATGGGTCAGCACAAAAGAAGTCCTATGCCCCTACAGAATTGTATAGGAAAGGACCAGTCAACATTGTCCATGTAAGAAACACAGCCCAACCTCAGAAATGTTCAGTTGGGGTTTTTTTTCCCAGTAACCTCCTAAGCCACTTTTATATGACTGACTTCTATGGAACAATTGCCTTGGAACCCATAGAAAGAGATAATGTCGTTTTAGTGTGTTATTAATAGAAGTCTTCAGTTCACTCGTCACAGCTGAGCCAGATACATGGTAAAGCATCCCGAGCCACAGTGAGTATGCATGCAAGGCAAAAATCAGATTCCAAAGCATGTTATTTAGGCCAGTTATTGAGGTTTGGCTCCTGAAAGAACATTCTAGAAGCTCATGCAAACAGCTTGATGTCAGCATAAATCTTTTCATAGTTCAGTCAAACATTATTTTTGACCCTAATGTTATATTTGGGGAGATAAAAAGTTAAGAAACACAGTGCTGTGCATTGCATTCCTGGGAGCAATCTGTGCATATTCTTTGATTGCAATAAACTCTCAGTAAAGGAGCATTGTTTGGATGGTGGTTCATTCGATAGGCGGGACCCTGCATAGTACAGGCTTTTAGTCTATGTGGGAATGGATCAGTCACTGGCAATCTCCTGTTTCTCATCTCTAGCATGCTAATGTCTTTGAAATGTCAAACCAAAATACCATAAGACTGGTTCTGAAATTGTGATATCAGCACTTATGTTGTAAACAAATATTCTTTTTTGAAGCTTAGCAGTAACGCTGCTACTGCTCTCTCTTTTCTCCATCTTACCTTTTTCATTGTTTCTTTCTCTTCATGAAAGTCCTTTTGCCTTTAACGACTCTCTATTTCTGGGTGCCATTGCTCATTTATTTATTAAACTTTGGGGCTAATATAGCTTTATTTGGCATATCCTATGTTCTCTATGCCTTTCACATGACCTTAGTTTCTGCTTCCTTTGGTCAGAAGCTGAAGTGTCTTCTACACAGCTTCATCTTGGATTAGCCAAACTGGAGAATCTTTCGGGTAATGCTTCTGTTATGTAGAGTAGCCTTTAAAATTTATTCATATTGCTTTTAAATTTTCAATCCATTTTATTCTATATTTATAAAATAAAAGTATAGACAAAATGAATGAAGGGTATGTGCATGTCACCTTCTCCCCCATCTGATTGGCCTGCCATTTGAAGCCAAGAAAAAGTTGTATGTCAGAGAATGTATTCTAAAAGACAGACATTGCTGTTGAAATAGAAAAAAAAATGTCTGAGTGGTTGAATAAAGGAAATGAAAGTCAACAATTCCCAAGAAATATTATTAATAACAGTCATATCCTTAGATATCCAAATGAGGTCAAATATATCCTAACTTTTAGACTTTGTAAAACACTGAGTTTTACAAAACTTAAGACCCATGGGAATATCTCTTTTATTAAGAATAATAATAATAAATCTAGTGGAATAAATCAGACATTCCCAGAAAGTGCTTATCATTCAAATGCTTAAAAATTGTTCTAACCAATGGAAACGTGGAACAAAAAGAAAAAAACAAGACTGTAAGCAAATGTACAAGTTACTATCTTCTTACATTTTCTTACATGGAGGGAAAAGTCATATGAAACAAAATAGGTATCATTAATAGTGAAGGATTAGGCCTTGATCCTACAAACAGTTAAGTGTTTAAGGGCATTTGTAGATGACACATTAACGCGGGTTAAATGCCCTTTTGCACTGCTTTAATAGTGTTGCTGTTTGCACGAGAGTCCAGAGGAGCGCCATGAACATGATCAGAGGACAAGAGAATAGTCCTTATGAAGAGAGGCTGTAAGCTATAGGACTCTTCAGCCTGGTAAAGCACAGGCTCAGGGGTGACCTGGTGGCAGCCTATAAGTACATAAGGGGTGTGCATCATGATCTGGGGGAATGCCTATTCATCAGAGCACCCCAGGGGATGACGAGGTCCAACGGTCACAAACTCCTCCAAGACTGTTTTAGGCTGGACATAAGGAAAAACTTCTTTACTGTCCGAGCCTCCAAGCCCTGGAATAGACTCCCTCCAGAGGTGGTTCAAGCATCTACTCTGGACTCCCTTAAGAAGTGTTTGGATGCTTATCTTGCTGGGATCATTTGACCCTAGCTGACTTCCTACCCTTGGGGCAGGGGGTAAAAATATATATATACATATATATATTTCCCTTGGAGCCTGCCTGCCTGCCTAAGCTGTGCAGGGACCTGGTGCTTCCCTCTGCAGCTGTGGTACTCCCCGGGACCACCTGAGCTGGGTGCCTGCGGGCAGGTGCTGCCTGGTGGGGGGGCGCCGCTGCCACTGAGGGAAACACCAGCCCCGCCCCCTGCAGCTCAGGGACTGCTTGGCCTGCCAGCAGCTTGCTTTCCCCTCCCTGCCACCAGAGAGGCAGATAAGGACGTGTGTGCATGCAACTTGGCAGTTTACTTCACCCTAAATTGAAGTGGTGTTTTTAAAAAAACACTGATTCAGTTTAAACCCCCATGTTGTCTACAAATGCCCTAAGTACCTAAGTAATTCCCACTGATTTCAGTCCTAATATTAAACACTAATATAAGCATTTGAAGACTGGAGGCCGAAATTCAATTTTCAGGATTCTTTCTATTTTAAGAATCTGAGGGCTTATAAATGAATAACATGTTTAATCTTTTTAATTTATTATGTTTAACCTGGCAATGCCCCTTTCAATTGCAGAATTATTATTCTGTACCTCTGCCATATTCTTTGTACCCAGATGTTGTACCAAATATCTTTCCTCCTAATTTTGGTCTCTGTAGGCTCAGCTGGTAAAGCTGATGATGACTCTGTCTTCATTTTTTGCCAGTTTTCTTGCATTTACAGGGTTAAATTTGGACAGTTCCAATTGCAGTATTTTAACACTTATTTTGCTTCAGTAGATTTAGATTATATATGATGTGCTACATCTGTATTTACTATAAACTTGAGCCAATAGGCTAAAAGTCTGGATGCCAAAGGAGAAAGTTTAGGCACAAAGCACTAATAATAACCAGGGGAAAATGCAGAGTGGGGTATCAGATTAATCAGGGATCAGGCTGCTTGCCAGATACTGCATTAGTATGCACTGCTCAGAGATTTCTCTTTCACTGTTTTCTTGGCTGGTTGAAGAGGTCATCCATCAGGTATCCGAATGCTAACCTTGCTATCAAAGCAACTTCTATTCCCATTGTTCTAGGAAAAGGTTCCTTTCTCATTCACAGGGTACACACACTTACATGACAATGAAACTTCATTGAAGCTTCCAGGACAATATCTGATAGGCCATTGGACAGCTCAAAACATTTTCATTAGACAAGGTTAAGGTAAATTAAGCACTGAAGGGGGAAAAAAAACCCTTCTGCCCTGTAATTAAGGGTCAAAAAAATATTAATTGTTCTTATGAGTAGAATAACAGCAGAGTATGGCAGGATTTTGATGCTTCTAATACAGCAATTTTTTGTGAAATCATAGGAGCTGTTCACTTAGTATTCCCAAAAATGTGAGCAACCATATATAATATTAAAGAGTTCCAGTCTTAGGAGTGGTAAGTGTGTAAGGACATGCCCAATAAGAAATGGCATGCTTGCTTGCTCTTTACAATTTAAGTTTTTCCCCAAAGCGCTGTAAATTCAAACAAAGCAGCTTTGAGCTAGGCCAAGAGAACCAGAAAGTAAAATTTCCCAGAGACAGACCCTAATCTTATTTCTTTGTCAAGCTGAGTGAAATGCAATAATTAAACAGATAGCCCAACAAAAGATGGAAAACATGCTAGATTTGGGGGGGCGGGGGGAGGGGGAGGAATGCAAAACCTCTTTAATTTTGTCTCCTAAGATATTATTGGTAGCACAAATAATGTTTTTTGGATGTTTAACTTTACTATGTTCCCTTTAAAAACAGAAAAATAAGGAGATGAATGGTATCTAAATTGTCAAAAATAACAGAATTTTCAGGTGGAGGCTGAGCAGCTCTTATATATAGCTTCATTATGCCTTGGCATTGCAATCTTTGGCATTAATCCTTAAAACGCTTACATGTGTGCTTAAATTTACTCATATCCCGACTGAAGTCCATGGAACTACCTTCATGGAAAGGTGTTGCAAGAATGAGGCCTGCTTATGATTTTTATGTTCTAACAGCATAAACTGTTTTTGCTTATTATAGCTTGTTATAAGCAGCTCTTACAACTAGATTATAGTTGCATGAAGTTATATAGGCTTTGTAAATTCAAATCAGACAAGCACAGAGGAGTTTTTTAATCAATAAATGGTGCTGAAAAATCTAAGAACATGTTGGAAGTAGCACAAAAAGATGTTCCCCCCCTATTTTACTGTAGTTATGCACAGTTGGAGCCATTAAATTATTAGTGTAAGCCACTCATCACACACCCATTGACTAGGGGTAAAAACTGAGATGTTCTCATATGCCCTGGGTGACTGCTACAAATGCTGTTTGTTTGGTGCGGTTTTTTAAATCGTGGCCACTCTTGCTCTTCCTCCAAGTGCCAGTCAAAACCAAGGGATAGAGTAGAGCAAGAAAATGAAAAAATTGCCCTACAGTCCTACAGAATGTTGTAGCAGTGAAACCATTATGACTATATGGAAATGTAGTGAAAATCTACTGAAATTATTCTAAAATCCTGTAACATTTAATAGAAAATTAAATGCCTCTATGGGGCATCCTGTAGAATTGCATAACAGAGATATGTATCTTTATTCAATTCTAT